CGTTTTTGTGCAGCAATTTACATTTTTGAAATTCAGAATTGAATTACTTCATTATTGGAGGCTGAGGCATTCCATTATAAAAGCTAGCCTCGGCTCTAATTAATCTTCTTACGACTTGTGATAAGTGGCGCGCGACGAACAATATTATCATTAGTGTTCGCAATAACGAGCTAAAGAGCTATTAAAAATGTAAAAACTATCGAAAATTAAATCGCTTTCGGGGGAAAATTCAGGAATCGCAATCGCGACCACGACGAAATATCGCATTGATAGCAGCTTAAGCAGTATATGTGGATAACAAGGTGGATAATGCGCATCTGGGCGTGAAAAATTGCAGACGACCAAATAATGCACTCGCTCATTGTCTTGATTCTTCTAGTGAAATTTCATTTCAAATTGCACACTTACCAGTACAATCGTTTCCAATGGCATTTCCTTGCGACATTACGCTCCAATTTCAAATTGTCAAGTGGCGATGTGTATACATGTGAGCAACCAGAGAGTTCGATGGCTGTTTGTGTACAGTGATAAAGCACATTACATGCATTTATCTCTGTCTGCCTGTAGTCTCGTGTGATGTGATACGGTGTGGTGCCGTTGTGTGTGGTTTGTTATGGCATGGTGTGTAATATGTCGTGCGCGCGTACATTTGCCTCTGGCGCAATCCAACGCCGATTACGTCAAAGTTTAGTGCCCCGATGCACGATTGTGCATGCGCGCGCGCTCGCTCGCACAGAGTGGGAGGGAGTCGCGTTCTAATTTCTTTCATTAGATCAGAAAGAAAAGCTTTCAGGGTCGTGCTTGTGACGTCGTCGGTTCGGCATTCGCTACTTCGTAGGTCAGCTTTTGCTCGTTGCGCTATTGTGTAATATTTTTTCCTTTTCTTCTTATTTTACAGCTCGAATTATGCCGCGACTATTTCGCAATGCACACCTTTTCTGGTACGAACGATTTCCATAAAAAATATTAACAATCACGGCAGCGAACTAATTCTATTTTCGCAAGGTTGTAAGTACTGCATAATTGTGCAAAGAAGGAAAAGGTACGCAATTTTCATAGATATCGGTTGCTGATGCTTATTCTCGAGATCTTTCGAAGCGTATATAGTCAGTTACTACTAACTTATATATTTTGTAATAAATATGATGATGACGATGATTATTATTATTATTATTATTATTATTAACGAGAAACGCAGATTGAAGATGTATGCACACGCAAGACACTAATTTTTTATTCATTACAATTGCGTTAATTTTATTTATTATAAAAATAATGTTATAGTTACAAAAATGTTTTTGTTCGCCTTTTCGAGTAATAGCATTTATTATTTTATTTTATTATCTTAATGTATACATCACTAGTACTACGTGCTAGTGGGAACTTCAAAGGATTTGCAGATTTATGATTGCGCATTTTATATTTTCAGTATTCACGTACGAAATTAATTATTATGCATACATTATCCATTCTTATAATTTTTTTTTTTATTTGTTTTTATCAAAATCAATTACGAAATATGTCGATTTTAGACTTAAATTTTACTATTTTATTTTACAACACCATATTTATCCTAAATTCGTGTCGTTCGTTTCTTAAACCAATAGCATTTATAGAAAGAAACACTTATTATAAAAATACATAAATGAAGAATCGATAATGGCACTGCGTTGTAAAATTTTACCCACGAAACAATGAGAAGACATTGAATTACCTAGGTTTTGGTGGAGAGGTTGACTTATCGGTACCATTTCACATTTCTATTCTAGGCAGGTTGCGTGTGAGCGCTCATAAAAGCATGTCCATATGAATTTTCTTCATCATTCTCCATCTCCCTCTCACGCTCTATAGCTCTCGACACCCCGAAACTTATTACGTCATTCTATAGTTGAGTCACGACTATATCTGCGAGTGAAAGGGAGGAAGACAGAGAGAAACTGTGACGGGACGAAAGTGGGAGGGAGGGAGGGAGAGAGAGAGAGAGAGAGAGAGAGAGAGAGAGAGAGACCTTGTGACTTCGCAGGATTTTTGAAAAGCATTGCCCACCAACGTCATTACTTCTATAGGTTATTAATTTTTGTGAATACAGTCTCGTGTTTATAACTTATACTTCGTAGAAAGAAACGAATCCCTAAGTCTAATATTGATGATTTTTTTATTGGTTTGTCGTGCGGAGAATTGGAAACGATATTTGAAGTTTTTATTGATAATTATGAAGGCTAATTGTCGATCAGCTTCTTACATAGAAACTGAGATATTTATTGGTCAAATTAACTTTTTTGGACAAATTAAATTATTAAAATTATTATATATATTATATATAAATTATATATAAATTAATATAAATTATATAAATATAAAATATAAATATATAAATAAATATATAATAAATAAATATAAAATATAAATATAAATTAATATAAATTATATATATATATATATATATATATTAATATTAATAATAATAATATTAATATATATATTAATTATATATAAATTATTAGCAAAAAAATAAAAATAATAAAAATAATGTTGGTATAAAAATAATTCATTTATTTTTAATTTAATACATTGAATATATTGGATAGAGAAACTAATTTACTTTATCGACGTTATTTATTCCTTTATTATAATTGATTATTTCAAATGTCATACGAGTATTATAGAATATTCAATTTTTTTTTTATATAAATTAATTATTCAGCATTTAATATAGAATCAACTTTATTGCAGTAATTTTATAAATGTATGAATAATTATCAATTGCATGTGTATTCAATAAAACAATAATAATTCTTACTAAATTTGTTAATGATATTCTATCATTAGTTCAGCATTAGAATGTAAAAATATTTTAGTAAATTAACAATAATATTTTATTTAATTGCCGACCATACTAGCAAACAAAGTAAAGATGCTAGGATTATCCGTCTCACAGAGAACACTAAAACTATACTTGCGGTAACTAATGGCTTTTTGACCCCTAAGATTTATAGTCCTTGGTTCATAAAATATTTTAGTAAGCGACGTTACTTATGAATTCAGTCACAGATTGCCACAAAATAATTTAATCAATCTCCCTGTTCACACACCCTAAAATAAAATGCACATAATTAAGAGCACAGGTTTATATAGAGAGAATATAATCGAAATGAAATTTATATATTTATGCTTATAATTAACATTATTTTTAATCTACTATGTTTTCATCCAAGATTATCCAGCTTATGACTTAATAAATGGAATAAAAATTTTCAAGTATATTAAGTAGTTTCTTTATAAAATTTGCATGATTACTTAATTTCTTATATTGACTATAATTTCTAACTACTAATCGTTCATCCATTACAATATTTGTCACATACGGATTATATAATAAAGTATTTTAAAGAAAAAATGTTCTTAGAAAGTATTTTAAAGTGAAGCAAATTATACGAAACATATCCATTTTCGACAAAATTGTGCTTGCAAAATTAAAAATTATTACTTTAGATTTTTTTAAATTTCAATGCTATTATTTCTATAAATTATAATCAATGAGATTATTGAATGGACACAGCATTAATATATATTCATCAATATTCAAATATCTGCCTTTTTCAAATACTCCCTCAATGTTCTACGCTATTTTAATTCAATTGAAAAAACAAATATATATATATAGCAAAATATGATAAATGTGCTTCAAAATTCAAATGAAAATTTCGTCGAATTTAAATATGTACGTTCGTGTTGTTCTAGTCTCTTCGTCTGTCGTTGCGTGACCGCGATTGACCGTTGGGCAATTGCTAGCTAAATACTGTATACAATGTTTACGATTAACACGATTGTTCGCAAATGCCGAGTCGTAAATAAGAAATCAATCGTGTGGTGCTGTAATAATTGCAGACGCAAAAAGCGGCGAATGGATAATAAGCATTCACGTGTATATAAACATATTAGAAAGATATTATCGGATTGCATAAGTTATTGCGAATATTGGCCATTATGAAATAAATTTTTCACATTTTTGCTACGACCGGGACAGGTAAGCAATTACTTATGGGATAGAATCAATGTTAAATGTATGATATTGCGAAAATTTAAGAGAGCGAGGCTTTTGTTTATATATATTGTCTTTATAAAGACAAATTTTACTACAAATCTCTAACTCGATTCTAAACAAACTACAAGGACTTTTGAATTGTAATCTTCGTCGATAATGAACTTTGATTATTAACAATAAATTCTCTTTCAAAGTGGATGTACGGGAAATGTGAAAATTTTTTTGACAATATTATGGAAATCAGTATAAAAATTATGTATATCGATATAAATATTATACTTTAAGCTTTTGCGTAGTTTATAAATTAAAAATAAATATTTGAAAGTACAATTTTTTACACAACATATTTGATTTGTAATGTGAAAAAAAAAAAATAATAATAATAATATATATATATATATATATATATATATATATATATATATATATTACGAAAAAAACCATAAATTAAATTCAGCTATCAAATTTATTTATAATCCACTCAAATACAAATTTTTCAATATTATCAATCGAGATTATTTGACTAGACGTTATGATTTGGTGGAAAGTAACGAAAAGCTATTATTAAATTTAAAATATAATTTTGTGCATTAGATTTATGGATTTTGAGAGCACACATTATAAGCAACATTATTGTTGTTACGAAAAATAATATATATTAAAGATGTCGGAGCTTAAATTATCGTTGTAATTTTCTAATTCTATCTCGTTATTTATATATTTAACAGATTATTAACGTTGCGCTAGAAAATTGTCGATTGCGTCGTAAATTTTGTCCTTCAAACTATTAATATTCAAATGTACTTTGCGATTAAATCATCACCGTGTCCCGGAATCACGAAAAATGTTCATTTCTAAATATTCAAGCATCGAAATCCAGGAATGTTGAAGTTGGTGAAAATTCCCGATCGACGATCGAAGCGCATCAATCGCACCGGCGAGATCACTAGCTTGAAAATCCCAATTGTCGGGCACATTACAATTGTGACGGAGTCTCCGGCCGGACGTCGCAAACGGCAGCTCGACGATTTTTCGGCTAATAATTGTATATTCGATCAACGTACGATCTCAGAGACTTTGAAATTTTTTGTCTTGGGAAGGAAGTTCCTTATCTATGGTGTAGGTATGAGAGAGAGAGAGAGAGAGAGAGAGAGAGAGAGAGAGAGCATTTAAGTTCCTGCTAATTTAGTAAAAATTTAATCGTTGTAGAAAATTTTTTATCGTCCTATTTATTCGGCCGAGATTAAATAAAACATAAAAAATTGTTGTTTTATTTTTTTACTTTGAAAATGTAATTGAATAAACAAAACAAAGATATACTGCATCTTATTCGTCGTCAGTTGATAAACATATAATTTAAGAGTATTTTAAATTTATATAAATTTTAAATTAATTTTTGCCGTACCGCTAAAGTGCGTATAGACTAAATTATTTTTGATTAAATAAATAATTCCAATAAATTTACCAGTCATAATATCTTAGCTAATATTTCATTTAATTATAAATATTGTTATAATTTATATGATGATAATTAATAATAATCAAGTCGTTGTTTGAATTGTAATATCTCGTGTAAAATATTTGTACTGTAAAGTGTTAGGCTATGATTTCAGATGTCACACATTTGTTTATATTTATTGTACCAAAATTAATATTCCTACTTTTACGCACCAATTATTAATTAATTTAAGAATCGATTGGTATTTAGTAATCGAAAATTTTTATCCTGGATTTCTTTCTACTGTAGCTTTTTTTCTATGTAGCTCGAAACGAATCGGTTACGTTGCTTTTAAGGAAAAAAAATTTTTTTTTTGTTTTTTGTTTGTTTGTTTTTTTTTTCTTATCTTTTTTTTTTTTTTTTTTTTGAAGCTATTGATAGAAAGTAAAGAAGCTCTGACGCGCCCGAAAAATTCCAGAAGCTTTTCGAGTCCCTATCATAAAGCGAAGGGCTATGCATTAACCGAACATTTAACACACGTTCATAGAAAAAAGATGGTTCGCCCAAAATCGAGTAAGAAGAAGAAGAAGGTGTGCGTGGATAACTGTTGCTACGAAAGTGACAGTTCAGTCTGTTCGGACTCGGACTGCAGCGATTGTAACAACTGCTATGACAGCCGCCCGAAAAAGAAGCGCACCTTGAAGAAGAAGAGTAAGAGTAAGAGCAGCAAGCCTGTCAAGTCCAAGACAAAGAAAAAGAGTATTTTGCGCCGTGCGAGTAAGTGAAGTGGCTATTTCTCTTTTGGAATCTATGATCATTGAATATCTTTCGAATGGCTTTAAAACATTTCTCATGAGATTTAATGCTTCGAATTTCTAGCATAAAATTTTAATATACTTTTTGGTTGCTCAATTATTCGGTAATCGGTAATATTTAATTTAATATTTCATTAATGCGCGAAAAGTATTGAAATGATGGGTTATGATTAGAGCCGTGAACGATAGGGGCGCGTTATATAAAAAATTTGTCCTTAACTCTCATCGGGACTTTAAACTTAATTGAATATCCAATTTCCAAATTTCGTATCTTTCACATTTAATATATCACACGTCACATTTGTATTTACCTGCATATCCTTCCTAATAAATTCACTAAACGACCATCTCTTAATTTTATAATTTCTGTCTATGTATAGAAGATTCATCGTCGAGCTGTAATTGTACTGACTGTAATGATTGTAGCAGCGACGAGTGCGTGCCCAGCAAAACCACCAAGTGCTACTATTAGATGGATAGATTGATGGAATGATAGCTTTAAACCTTTAAAACAAATAGAATCGTACTAAATTAACATTTAAGATGTAGTCTAGCTTTTCTTATAACTTTAACGTTGATGACATTTAGCTTTAATTCAAATAAATTCGAATTTTACGGTTAATTTAAGAGTCATGAATAATTTTGTCTTTCAATATAATATAATGCGATATGTGATATTTAAGGTCCCATAAAGTTGATATTCGGCGATATTTTGCAAAATATTGTAATACGATTCCCGTTTGTTGGGCTATGCGAGCCAGCATTACGAGTATTCTAATGCCTTTCATTTTATCTTCTAGAGCAGAATAAACGCGATTGTTAGATGAGGAGATTAAAAATAAGTCTTATTGACATATTTTGTTTGTAAAGATACAGCTGGCTGTTGTCTTGCGAATCCATTAAATATAAAATGTTTTCATTAAATATAATTTTTATAATATTAAATATAAAATATAAAATTTCATTTCCACGAATAAAAGAAAATTTAATTATTGTATATCATTGCCTTTTAAAATTCCAATACACGACAAGAGGATACATTAAAATAAAACATAAATGTTTTAATGATTGAACGTGCATTTATTGTATTTTATTTTTATAGGAGCTAGATAATAGTATTTAATTCATTTTAGATATAATTAATAATTAAGTATTTTTGGCGCTTTATTTATGTATTTGCATTTCTGTAAAATAAACATTCCGACCTATGAAAATAATGAATTTATGAAAATTTTGTTATATTTAAAAAATTGAATAAATAAATAAATGACTTTTTGATTAAAAAGATTTGAATTTAAATTAATAAAACTATTAAATACATCCTTATATACTTATGTGCGTATTATATTACGAGATTTTGTGAATAAAATTTGCCGTGATAAGTAATTATTATAAATTACTTAATACATTTACTTTATTGGTAGTGATAGATTCTACGGAAAATAAATAAATATTTATACAATTGTGATCTTGATAATTTCAAGAATCTGAATAATTTATTCCCAAAAGTATAATAATATGTTATTTCAATTGATATAATGTTTCTCTAAAGCTAATGTAAATATTAAAAACAAAATAATTTATTATAATCAACTTCTGTAATTCGTAATAAGGCGTATTTATTACGCTAAGGCTAACATAAATGACCGTTTAGTGAATTATAAACTACTATTTACTAACTTTATTTGCAAGGACTTCTGAAAAAGTAATTTATTTTGTATACGATTCTGAGCATACTTATTTCATCTTATATAATTCTGTTGGAATAAGTCTAAATTAAAACGAATTTTTCTGACAAACTTCACCAAAAGTGACAAATAAAATTGTCAAATAAAGCTATTATAATTTATAATTAACATTTGCGTCAAGAAATGAATAAACTAATATATATATATATATAAGTATGTGTGTAATATAAATTGTATGTGCGTGTCGTGTATATAACTAGATGTTAAGCGATTAGCATGATTAATTAAATATAAAACTTGAATATTAAAATTATAATATTTATAATATTGAGATGTACGTCTTTTGTTGGCTTATAATAGTGATATTCCGTAATTTCAATTTCAAAAATAACGATAGAATTTATTAGAATAGTATAAGTATCATCGTGAATAAGTAGTCGAGTAAGCTGTGGCGAAAGATATTTGAAGAAATTATTGATTTACTCATCGAAACGAAGTGATATTAGACATTTGCATAACAAATAGTATTTTTATTCCTCATAAGCAGCTTATTATGTATTCCTGCACTCGTCCTCGCGTACTTTTTCTTCGTCTTTAACAAACAGTCATAAAAAGCCGCCGTTTAACGCGGCTCGACTCTCTCTCTCTCTCTCTCTCTCTCTCTCTCTCTCTTTCTCTTTCTCTTCCTCATTCTCCCGTAATCGAGCTCTTTCGCGCGAACATTGCCAAGCTCCCGAATTCCCTATATCTCCTAAGCTTCTATGGCTAATGGCTAATGGCTAGTGTATATAGGGCTGGCCGCACGTGCGTGTTGAAACGTGTGAGAGCTTTACGGTCAGTTACGTGCGCATGCGCGCATACGCCTGACATAACTGCGCACGTGTAGCGTGAAGGTGCGAGCGCGTGCGACCAATGGTCAGATGAAACTCCGTGAACTCGTTCTCACGGCTGGTGGATTCCTCACGTCGTTGATTCTTCTTTCATTGCCTCCCGAGAAGGATGCGCCGATGCTTTAAACTGATTTTTCGAGCTTGCAAAGGAATCGCATGAAATTATCAGGAAAATTAAATGAAGAGCTATTGAGCTGTGGATGATAAGTATATCGTACTTAATAAGACATAGCTTTAAATGATTCTTATTCTATTTATTTAGAAAGCAATTTTGCACGGCCATTCGGCTTATAATGAAAAAAAAAAAAAAAAAAAAACAAAAAGGACAAAGAAATGGACTTGTATTGAAATCAATTAGAATTTTAAGATAAATAAATAGATTGGATCGTGCTTAAATTTACAAATACATTGCAATTTAATTTATTATACACGTTTGGAAATATTCAGCAATATTACTTCTTCGCAATCTATTTTCGGATGAGCCACGTATGAAGTGCATTTAAAAATATGTGAAATCTATGCATCGTGCCATTATATTGGCAATAACTTACTTTCAGTCCGGATGGAGCTTTCCCTCCAAGTACATTTTCACTGCCACAAGCGTAATGCCGGTATAACGAACGATACTGCGCGCCTTGAAAAAGATGCGAATCCACTTCCTCTGCGAGCTGCAGCGTATATTTTTAACTCGTTGCGCTCTTTCATTTATTTTCGGCACGCCGTAACTGCACTTCGCTTATGCCCTTCGAATTGTAATCGCGCACGCAACTCGCAATTCACGATCAAACACTCTGTAAGCAGAAAAATTCTTTTTACTAGTTACAAAGTAAACAGAGTGACGCCTCTTTCCCATCTCTTTTATCATCTTAAGTCAAGCTTGGCAAAAATTAATAACGAACATCAGTTTGCGTTTACTTGTTATGTAAAAACAATCTTAATCCTTCTTTTCGTTTTTAAGTTTTGTAAAAAAGAATTTTTCTCTTCTTTTTTTTTTCTTCCTTCTCATAATTTACAGACTTTTGTGCATATATCTTTTCATCATATTACCTGAGTAATTTATCAGTCCTTTCATTTCATCATTATGTTACAACTACAATTTTTATGAATAACAAATACCCTTATTTGTTAGTCATTTATTATTGACTTTTTATTAAGTTTATTAAACACGAGGAATTTCGACACTCTGGTAATTGATATTTTATACAATAAAAAGCGCACCGAAGATACGTAAATATCTCTGTAGGTCCAAACAATATATACAAAGAATAAAAAATTTTCATTGGGACATAATAATGCAAAGCTGCAAATACCCTATAAATCTCGATTATTATGGAAAAAGAGTATAAAGTTAAAAATGGTCTCAATTACTCGTCAATTATTCCAACGAAGTAGCCACTCAACGAAATAAGATGTCGAAGGAGGAAAAATCGTAAAAAAAAATTATTTTACCGAGATTTGTTACACAGATTGTTCACAGAAGCTAACCGTCGTGCGCGGGCCGCTCCCCACCCAGCCGAGCACGACTTTTCCCACGCTTACAAAATCGCCTAATTAGTTGAACGATGATAGAGTAACGTGTGAATTATACGTGCCACTACTGCGCTACTGCAGTTGCATTGCGTAGAGGGTTACGGCGAGGTTCGCTCGCGCCTCTTGCAACATAAAAATCGCAGTCTAAGCGGCCGGTTATGCTTAGAGACATTATTATTAAATGTGCATTCGCGTATTGTGGGGAGAGTTTTAGGGGGTGGGAGGGAAAGAAATGAAGCAGCAACGCTATTGCGAAACGCGCGAGGCAGGTGGAATTTGTCCCAGCGGAGACTCATCGTATGCATTTTCTTTCGTAAATAGGGATAAAAGCACCGTCATAAATGGCTGGATATAGGATTATTTTCAAATTAAGTCTTGTGCAAATAATCGCACTCCTTATGTAAGTGGATTGCTGCACACTGACTATTACATATTTCTATTTTATAAATATTGACTTGTTAAACAGTGACTATATATGGAGGTATTGGTACATATATGAAATATATCGTAAATATTAGCGTTACTCTACGACTTTTAGATAAAATATTACGTCTAGATAGATAAAGTCACTGTGTGCAATAAAACGAACGAAAAAAAAAAGGAAAAAAAATAACAATTGAAATGTCATTTTATATTCTTATAATGGAGCTGTATTAAATTTTCATTCAAATTCCAGGCAAAATAAAGGCTATTAGATTGCATAAAGTTGTAACAATTTACTTTGATTACATTGATTACATAAAAATTACATTGATAAAAAAAAAAAAATAGAAATATTAAAATTGTTGATAATATTTTCAAAGTGCGTGTAAAATATTTTTTTTCAGCTCAATACAAAACATAAAGTAATTCTCCGAGATTCTGGAAAATGTTGATGCTTTTAACATTTTTTCATTTTTTCACAGACTATCCGATTAAAATAATAAATATTTTTTTGAAATAGTTTCTTATCCTACTGTAGTGATTTACCTTGCAGTTAAGTTTTTTTTTCTTTTTTTTTCTATATTGCTTATCTATCGTAGATTTTTTACACAGCAAATGCTTTAACAAAATTTCTAGGATAAATGAATACACACTATGGCATGCGCGCGCACACACACACACACACACACACACACACACACACACATATATATATATATATATATATGCAGATAAATTAACAAAAAACAAAACAAAACAAAACAAAAAAAATACATGGATGTAATTTGAATAAACAATAGGCAGATTTTTTAATTGTAAAAGTACTCTTTTGCGTCTATATACATATATTTTTGTTTATTTTCATAAGCATTAATACTGTTGTATTAGTAAACACATTAATTTGAGTATAACGCACGTGAAATTTCATGCGAGACATTGCATAAAATGTAAAATTTCATAAACTATCTTAACCAAAACACAATTACCTCAACGACGTGCATTATAAGGCACAGTTAAAAGCAGGAAACGTAAATTTCATGACAATTTCATGACAATTTCATGCGACTGTTATTCGGCATTTATTTTCTTTAGGAAACTAGAGCACG